GCCCACAGCGGATACCGAAAACTAATTTTTAGCATTATAAGCCCACAGAATTACTTTTGAGGCATGAATGGGGATTCTTTGAAAAATTGTAAAGTATGCAAATAGAAAATAATGTAATTCGTGTATATGTCAAAAATAACGTGATTTTTCTCATCATTCCACTTCAAATAAGCACACTACTCTAGCACATTCTGTTCTCTTTTTGTTTTTAGCAAGTACTGATATTTCATTTATTTGATGAATCTAACGTCACTATGAGCAAACTTTAACGCATGTAAAGTTAAAAATACACAATGTTTGACCTTCATTCTTTGTTTTCGCAGTAAAAGAAATGAAGCAAGGTTTGATGTACAAACCGTGTTAAAAATCTGCACTGTTATATCTTTTTTATTCCGGTATTTATAAATCTTGTTGTTATTTATTAAGAAGTTGTTATGAAGCTTTAAATGCTGCTTTCAACTGTTTTATTCACGCGACATCCTTTAAAGAGTTGTTTGTTTGAAAGCTTCTCGTAATACTTCAAAACGACTTTATGCTATGTCCATACTTAATTTTGAACTGATAGACTAAGAGGATGGTAGCAACTCAACTCCACCCATCCTCAGTTATTATTTGACCTAAGACATGGATTTCACTTTTACTCCTGCAGCACACCCACAGCTTAAAATAAACAATATTATTAAGCTTTGGAATTATAATTCTAGTTTTAGTTCCCTTAATGTTTGATATAAAGATTACATGATGTCCGTAATTTTATTTATTTAATACTTATGGTAAACTTTTTCTTCTTTACAGATGAATGACCTAATCCAGTTCCAACCTTAAATAATTGAATTTTTTTCTCGTCCTAAACATATATCACGTCTTTCAACCATCTTCAGTGATGTAGAAGTTTACGAATTTTTTGTGTAGTTTGTTCTCATGCAGTTTTAACATAAAACACTCGGTCCAGAGAAACGTTGAAATATCTCAGTTTTAAGGGTGATTTCCACTTGATAATTTCGGAATAATTTTTTGATCGTGAGATTAATAGGACGAAAAGTCAAAATAAAAAAAATAATTAATATTCTCAGTTTTAATTACCCTTGTGTACTTTTCTGCCATATCAGATAACATCTACCTTTCTCGCAAAAATGCATGCCCTTTCATTGGCCGAGTGGGTGATATCTGTATGTTCCAACCAATGAATGCTGTAAGAGTGACCAGTTATTGGAACTTTGTTTCTTGCCTGGTTATACTTGATTTTCACCCCGAGTAATCCTACTTCAAAAGAAAGATTGTTGTAGATTATTCACTAGACCTGTAGAGGCGATCGTCCACTTGTTTATGTAAGCTGTTTTTTTTATGTTGTGTTAATAATAAAGACTAGACCTGTAGAGGCGATCGTCCACTTGTTTATGTAAGCTGTTTTTTATGTTGTGTTGATAATAAAGACTAGACCTGTAGAGGCGATCGTCCACTTGTTTATGTAAGCTGTTTTTTATGTTAAAGATTGGTTTCAGCAAACGCTTCCATTTTGTATAATTCTCACCCAACTTAACTCAGCTGAGTTTTCATGTTACAGCCTTCCTGCTTGCTCATTTCATTATCAGGCTAACCTGTTTGATTTTTGCACAGAAATCAGTTTAACTGAGAATATTGAAAACTATTATTTAAGCTGGAAAGATGGACATAGAATTAATAAACGTTTCCTTATCCTTTAGTAATTTCTTTTGTTCTTTTTTGAAAACAGAAAGAGCATTGTTCTAGTTTCTTATTTATTTATCTGATTATACCTTTATTTGCATTGGGTATTTGCAATGTACTTCTTTTTCTTGTCACATCCAAATAACATTAGTTTTTTTAACACCTCTATCACGTGCTAAGGTTAGGTGTAAATTTTAATTATGAACTTGTAGCTTGTTAAATGGTTAAGAAACAAAAGACAGAAATTTCAGAAAGTTGTATCTGTCAGATTCAATCGCTAATATGGTGGGTCTCAAGGGATCATTTTATACGGGAGGCCATCCATTATACCTGGCCATTAACTACAAGATGATACCGAATTAAATGTTCTCAGTAATACCGTCTTTTGTTCTCTAGCTGTCACAAGTAGCTTTGAACTTTTCTCTTTCTTCGTATTAACAGAAATAGTTTCTGAGCCAAGATGCATAGAACTGTTCATTTTATTTTTGACTTAAGTTCGAATGTTTTATGATAAATTTTATGTGGTGTCAGTAATTGTTAATATTTAACTTGAAGAAACCAGAGGGATATGACTCTCAAAATTCCCCTACGAAGATTGCAAATGGTTTAATGAAAGAACTTGAGAAAAATCTTGACCTTCTCACACTGTAGAAACACAATCATTGGTTTTAATATAAATTGATATGACCGAATACATGGCGATGTTACAGGTTTTCTTTTTGGTTCAATTCTTGCCATTTGTTTATTATTTTAAAGACCTGACTCTACTAATTAAATGCATAACAAATAAATTTTCAAAAGGAAGTTGAATCTGCATCTTTTTTTGCTTTTCTCAGATGAATATCCTAATGAAGAACGATAAACTACTCAAGAATGCTTGAGTTTGTAAGTCTTTTAAATTCTGCAGTTGTATATGTACACATATTTCCTAATGAAGGAGAAGAACAAAACAGCCACTCAGAAAGTGGTAATATAGTCGTTAATAAATGTAAATGAAATTAAACTTGACAAAAACAAACTGAATTACTCGGGCTAAGATATAACTGTTGGTTTACACATACATACTATTAAAAACTGGTTAATTCCCCTTCTAAAAACTGCAATACATTCCCTTGATATCACGAGTTTTAACTGTAAAAATCCAGTAAGTTTTACTGCAATGCTGTTTACTAAACTTGAGAAACTTACTTACATTTAAACTTGACTTTATTGAAAAAAAAAACTCGTTCTTTTAGTTATTTAAAATTTTATTTACTGTGTAAAAAAATAAACTATAATATAGTTATATTTTCAGTCCATTTAGCTTTTAAATTTAGAACATGATGGCATGAACAAATTACCTTGAAATAAGAAGCTACACAGAAGGCTGATTAAGTTATCCAAATTTATTATTACAATAGTCATAAGACATTAGTATTAAGCCTATTATATTTTTAAACACTACATTTCTTATCTAGTTCCTTAGGGATTTCCATGAAGTAGAAGAGTGTTTAATAATAATAATAGAATGTATTCCAACCATACTATGCTCGTCATATCCATTACCAACTGCATGTTCTACTTAATCCAGAGCTCTTCAGGCTGGTTGTGATACAACCAACACAGCAGCGGTCAGGACAATATTTATAGAGATCATTTGATAAAACAATTATCATGGCACGTACACCTTTTATAAGTCTGACAGAGTAATACTAACGTCTTATGACAAGTATAATTGTAAGAGATGTACACACCATAATATTGTTTCGTGTAGTTTCTAACAAATCCCAAAACAATGGAGACTAAGAAGGCAACAAGGGAGAACAAGTAGAATTACCAGGTTCTTGGTTAATATGATGTTACAGGACTCGTAGCAGTATATAGAGGAAACGATGTTACAGGACTTGGTAGCAGTATATAGAGGAAACAATGTTACAGGACTCGTAGCCGTATATAGAGGAAACAATGTTACAGGACTCGTAGCAGTATATAGAGGAAACAATGTTACAGGACTCATAGCAGTATATAGAGGAAACAATGTTACAGGACTCGTAGCAGTATATAGAGGAAACAATGTTACAGGACTCGTAGCAGTATATAGAGGAAACAATGTTACAGGACTCGTAGCAGTATATAGAGG